GAAGCATACCTAACTAACAAAGATAACATTTGATAATGTTTTCAGAAAGAAAAATGGAAAGAAAAAGATGAGAAAACAAATCATCCTTTTCTTTTAAATAGAATGACCACAACTATATAGGAGTTGGGAAAAGAGGTTCAAGGAATTACTCACTTTTTATAAAACACTGATCTATAGTAGCTTGTACTTGTCCAACGGAATGTACAATGCTGATAAGAAATCCAGAGGAAAAATCTTTTATGAATTTAAAATATATATAAATATGAGTATGTACCAAATAACTATCATAAAACTCTCCCATTCTTGAGTTTCAAATACATTCTAATCTTGTCACCTTAAATAACACTGTCCTTTGAAGGACAGTGCCATTTTTAAAGAGATTTAAAAGATCTATTATAAAAAGATTAATCTCAAATTTCTCTGAAAATATTCAGTGTGGATAAAAGCCTGTCTATTTTTAAAACACCAGTCTGGACTTTGGCCCTTAACCTTGCACATGTAGTCAAAAGTCCTATAAAACTGCTGAGTTGGCCTGCCATTTGTGTCAAGATTCATTTCTTGACGAAGTTGAAATGATGTGTTATTGTGTTATTACAATATCCAATAAAAAAACCCCTAAGAAACAAAAGTATAAATAAAGAGTATCACCATCCTTTAGTGGCATCTGATTAAAAATTTAAAAATTTCAGTACAAGGTCATTGTAGAAATTTTAGAAAATGAACAAAGTGTAATGATGATGATGAACAACAACAGGAAAGGTGTTCTTATGTTTATTTTCCCGAAGTAAGCATTTGGCATATATGTTATTTTACTTAACAACCCTATGAGATAAACCTATCATAAAAGACCTATTTTTATCAAAGGTTACAAAGAATTCAAGGTTATGAAAGTTAACACACAGTTACAACTAGTAGGTGACAGTCAGAAATTAAACCCAGATCTAACTCTAGAACTTGAGCTCTCCTTCACTAATGTATGCTGCCCAAGAAAGAAAATTAAAACCACCTGTAATCCTACCAACCAGCTACAACCACTGCTAACATGAGCATTATCTCACCAATCCCACTCTCTCCTGACTTCCCAACCAATCCCAATTCTCTCTCTCATTAGGCAACCAATGTTTTCCCTATGAATATATATATTTATATACCTATACAAATACTTATTTAATATGTTAAATTACAGAAATAACATCATGGTATATACCATGTTGCTGTGACAGGAAACAGGCGAAGAGACATTAAATCACATGTTTAGGATCACATGACTAGTAGTGGGGAAATCAGAACTGAAACACAAGATACATTTAACTAAAAATTGCCCTAAGGGAACCTGGGTGGCTCAGTCAGTTAAGCATCCCACTCTTGATTTTGCCTGCCTCAGGTCATGATCTCAGGGTTGTGAGACTGAGCCTCGAGTTGGGCTCAACGCTAGGTGTGGAACCTGCTTAAGATTCTCCCTCTCCATCTGCCCCTCCCCTCCCCGCTCCATCTCTAAAATAAATAAATAATAAAAAAATAAAATAAAATAAAAATGACCCTAAACCTTTACATCTTCCCCCATCCCTGATTATTTAGAAAACACTTTAACACCCTGCAACATACTTTGGGATTATCACAAGAATAACAAAATTAGCTAACATTTATAAGCATTTACGATGAATCAAGCTTTCTGCTAAGTGCTTTATATTTATTAATCTGATTTAAGATTACTGTTCCTATTTTTACAGATGAGGAAACTGAAACTCAGAAAGGTTAATTGACTTGCCTAAAACCACACAGCTAATAAATAATGCCATAAGCAGGAAAGTTAGAGTGTAGGATGAATCAATCAGTTTCTCTTACCTTGGGAATTGCTTTTATTGAAATCACTGATATCAGTTGGGTATCCTAAAAACACATTACAGCCCAGTCTCATACATAAAAACTGAATTTTCTGCTTTTTAATTTAAGGGTAGATAAGGGGTGTTTATGGAATTTAAACAGTACCAGAATTATGGGCAATCTATTCCTGGATTACATAATGCCCACTTCAAGAGTTCAACAATAAATTCTGCTTGTGACCCATCCAAATCACTTAAATTCTCTAGGTCTTAATTTCCCTACTGTAAGACAATTATCAAACACAATTCACATAACATCCCCTACGCTCTGGTAGGTCAGTTATGTAAAATCATCAATCATGTCCCATGGTTTTAAGTACAGAACCAAACCATACTGTTCACTTGTGTTTTTCTCATATTTTCCGCATACAACAAGTCTGATTTGAGGAATGATAAAATGTAAGTTAGGTATTTTAGAATCTAATGCTATGTAGACTGAATCCCTTAATTTATTAGACAAATATTCTGGATCAACAGCTATATCTCAGCATAGCTTTCCCTAGACTTTGCAGACCAAGTATCAATGACTTGCTCTGGTTTGATCCACAATTTCCTTTTATATGTAGGACAATATTGAAAACTAGACACAGGTACACAGATACCAGGAACAAAAGGACCAACCAAAAAAAGACATGTCCATTTCTTAGACACAAAAGCTTTATTCTTCCAACCTAAAGTACAGGCATCAAAAGGTTTAAGTTTAGATAATACAGAAACAACATCCTCAGAAGTCAAGAGCAGAATGACTTTCCAGAATTGTTCATTGGACCGCTTGTAAGCAGCCTGGAGCAGTCCTGTAACCCAGCTGTTCCTCAAAGTGTAGAACCTCAACCAGCAGCTTCAGCGCCACCTGGGAATTCGTCAGAAAAGCAAATTCTCAACCTAACCCAGGTTTACAGAATCAGAAATTCTGAGGTGGGCCCAGCAATCTGCATTTAAACAAGTCTTCCTGGTAATTCTGAAGCATGCCAAAATCTGAAAGCCACTGCTCCAGCCTTTGATTTATGACTGTTGTCTCTGTGAGATATATATACTATTTTCCTAAATTTGCATGTGATAATGAATAAAGCAGGTGGACAAGAAGAGAAACAGCTTTAACTGAGTTACTATATAAGTATACAATAAAACACGATCACTGTTCTGTTAGTGTATCCTATGTAAGAGACATTCAAAAGGAACGGATTATTTGTTCGCTTTGTGAGTACACTGAATTCATCTGTTCATTGTTAAGTTTTGGTACTATGTAGAAGATAACAGCTTCAACCTTCAGGTCACTAATCTTATCTCAGTAGAAACCTATTTTCGGAGAGTTTAATAACTTCATTATAAAAGAGTATAAAACACTAAGAAGTTTCTGTGCATTAAATCTGTTCAGATAAGAAAAGGAAAGACTGAGGAGCGTGGCAATTAACATTCTGGCAACATGTTTTAGTTTTTTCCTGGCTTTCTGAAAGTTTCAACTGAGGTTTAGTTTGGTTCAATTCCAATTCAGCAAAGATTCATATTTGTGGGAAATATACATAAAAAATAACATGGATAAGATTTTTCATAGGGATTCAGCACTGGCATTCCAACAAAAAGCAGCTACCTTGCTTCTTGACAATAACAATGGCTAGATTAGATTAAAGATGTCAGATGGACAATCAGGAAGTGAAAGATTAGTCTCCCTGACAGTCATTCTGACTTGCAAATCTGGAAAAGAAAAGGCCTCCAACAGAGTTTCTTTCCCAAAACTCAATGCAGGAATAGGGAATTAGTGCATTTATTTGTTTTACTTTATTATACTAAAATTCCCATGAAGAAATGCAAAGCACCCTATTCCATTGCCCAAGAAGTGTGACAGTACCTCAAAACATGAAAAAGATTCTTCTAACCATGTGCTATGGTACCATTTAAAGAGCTATTTTGTTCCTCTCAGACACAGAAAAGTTGGTTCCTAATACATAACTGTGATTGATTTAAAAATAGTCATCTCCTAATGATGTAATGTATGGTGATTAACATAACATAATAAAATAAAAAATAAATAAAAATAGTCATCTCCGACAGTGGGTGAAACCTGGGATTCTGCATCCTGAAAGTAAAATCCCCAAGGTCTTTCAATATTTAAAACTGACCCATACAATCAATGTCTCTGATTAGGTTTGGTCCAGGTTTTCGCCTATTATCTTTTTTTCCCCCTTAAACATGTCTTATTTGGCTTCAGAGCTACATTATCCTGACATTTCAGATTAGAGTTATTGATACCTTCCCTAGAACTAAAAATCATTTTATTCTGCTGACAGAATGCTATAAATTTGTAAAGTGGTTTCATTCTGTGGTTTAACATCAATTTTAATGAGCAGGAATAAACAAAAGGTCTAAAACCCAAGTCTTCTAAGGCCTTCTACGAAAGCTCTGATCTGTATACTCAACTAGATCTTTGAACATTTCTGACACAGCTCTATAGGACTCACTGTAGAGTGAGTGTAAAGGATGTTGCCAGGCAACTCATCTCAGTTTGCAAGAATCTAAGCACTGATAATGACTCTGTCTCAGCTTGGCTTCCACAAGAGAAGGGTTTTAGTGAACTCCCACATGTGCTCATAGGCCATTCATGAGAAGAGGTATTTCTAAAAGTGAATGTCCAGGAGCCCAAATTGGGAACCTATAAGGTTTCTTTTCTAATTTAAGTTTAATGTTTCCAACATCACAACTATTTTCTGAATAGAACTCCAATGGGAATCAGAAAAAGTAGGTCATACGTAAAGGGCTAGTGTTGAATGAACATTTTTATTCGTATCTTTAATATTCTTGTTTGCACGTGACCAAAGCCATATTTCTTCAAGTATCTCAAATCACAAAAATCACCCTAAAAACTATTTATGTACCAAAATTATTTCAATTCTTTTGAAAATTATCCTTGAAATGGTTTTCAATACTTACTCATTATTACATCAATAGTCAAAAAAGGATATTCAGTAAAAACTATGTTCTAATAAGGAAATTACGCAATCCGTTGCAAAAGGGGTTACAGATATGTTTTTATGAAAAGTATACATGCAAAACACTGCTCTGCTGGATGGGCCAGATCCAAACCTCCCTCTGTCAAAGCAGACACTTTGCATGCATGCTTACCAGGGCAGTACGCATCCACGTCCAGTTTCTGAGCTGAAGCGAGGGTTGGTGAGCCAAGCTCGGATTCTGGAATTCGTGGGCTCTCAACAAACTTTGCCTTCCTCAGAGGGGCTAAGGACAAAAAAAGAGACAGAGAGAGAGGGAGAGGGAAAAAGGTGAGAGAGAAAGACAGGGAGAGAGAGAGAGAAGAAAACAGAAAGGAAAGAAGAAAGAAAAAGGAAAGAGAAACAGGGAAGGAGAAGGGAAAGAGAGAAACATAGAGGGGTCATGAGTAAGGGGAACAGCAGGCAACAGATGGAAGCACTTAAATGAACGACACACTCTGTCAGACTCAGATCAGGTTACCCTATTTTTTTGTGCCAGAAAAAAAAATGAACTACATTCTTCATAGAGGAGATGGGTCTTGTTAAAAAGTCACTGCAAACTGGAAAAGCTAAAATCTAATATTCAAAACTATGAGCCTAAGTTGCAATTGTCTATCACCTTTAGCTACTTTCTTTCTTTAGAAAGCAAAGAGCTATTTTGTCTTCCTTTGCCATTAAATAAAGGTATGAACTGAGGAAAGTACAGGGCTGAGTTTTAAAATTCTGTTTATAACAACTGTAACCAAAGGTTTTCTTTATCCAGAAATAACTGCTATGACACTCGGTTGTGATAAATACCATAACTAGGATTAATCTACCTAGCTTAAAAGGAAATCAATCACCTGACGGCTCAGTTTATTAAGGTAAGAAGTCAAAACTGCTAGTGGTCTAAGATGTTAGCTAGACCATGCCAGTCTAACATTGGACACTAAAGGTAAAGAGAGGTGATTTAGTTGCACATGTACTCAGGAGTTCTACGGATTAGTAATATTCCATGACATGGAATCCATTCATTCTTATAAGGAATGAAATAAAAAGTATAATTCACGAATTTAAAGTTCTATTTATCAAAGGCTTGTATAAATTCTATTTGTTGATTTTTAGGGGGAAGAATTAAAGAACACTACTAATATACATTTAAGTAATCAGTTTAATACATTAAAAATTAAGATTATGAAGATTACTTTGGCACTCTCAAATTGAGTTTCATAAAATAAATTACAACAGGGTGAAAGTGCTTAGCATAACACTGTTTCAAAAGTATCATTTGAATCTGAAATTGAGTTGTATGCATTATATATTTGTGTCATAACTATAGGTGTCCAAGACATGGGAGTGCTTAAGATCACATTACTTTTTTCAAAAGTTTCTGCATGTTCTTCAAAATCCTCATCCATTACTGATCCACAGGGGATTCTAAGTTATTCCTAAAAGACCCTGTAAAAAGTAATATAAAACTTTGTCATTATAATGGCCAGAATTCTCTATTTTCTCTGGAGGATAAAAATAATAAAGTATTAAAAAAGAAAAGAAGTACTTTTGAAATGTGCCAATACTCAAAGCCTACAGGCAACTAAATCACATTTTAAATCTTAAAATATGTATGTATATTTTAAGTGTATGTTAAAAAACAAAATAAATCCTGTTACTGTCTCCATAGCAACAAGAGTTAAGGGTGCTAACGGTATGTTTCTCCGCCAAAAGTAAGCTTTGAAATAGCAGAACTCTCACCTCTGCTAAAACTGTAATAACTGAGACTATTTTTAAAAGTCACTATCACAAAGATCTCAAGTGATTTATATGCAGATCTGCAGGCTACTAATAGCCAATATTAGAGGCTCTTTCATTATAATCTCACCAACCAATTAAAAAATAATGAAATATTTTATTTATCCAGTATTGCTCTGTATAGAAGAAATGTTTATAATTTAATTCTTAAAGCTATTAAGTCCTTAACTAGAATTTTATTATTTTTTTTTATCATGGCAGCAGAATAACTATTTTACCTGCTGAGCTCTGACAAAGACAGCACTGGTCCCTGGTCAAGGGATTCCATATATCTAAAAATCTTAATAACAATTTTTATAGTGAAAATAGTAGGCTAGTAGTCAGACAGAAATCAGCAACTTAGGGTAGATATGTAAGGAAGAAACTGAAGGATGGCAGGAGAAACTGAGGGGGGGGATATGAGGAATATATAAGGATTATGAGATGGAGTCAAGGGCATAAATCAGGATCCCAGAGATTTGTAAATTCGATGCCATGCAGACTTCTTGATTTTCCCTTCTCAGGAATTCCAACTGCGGTTATCTTTACAGCTCATGGTGGACATTTGATTTTTTTTTTCTACCTTCATCTCTACCTTCATTCATGGGATACTGTACATGTCTAATAATGACTTTATCTTTTAAGGTAGATTATAATGTTGCTCTCACACAAATTACAGAAAACCAGTGCTGCCTGTAAGTCCAAACACAGGGGGTACAATCACAGCTATGACAGGTTGTCCAATAGTCTTAATACCGTTCGGTGGAGAACACAAAAGGTCAGTTTGAAAGATAGGACATGATATTTTGCTTGGAAACCTAGAATTTTAATAGACTTCATAGTAAAAAATGGTAAAGATGATTCAGCTGGGTACAAGAATTCTGTGTCAAAAGGGTTTACCAGACCATCTTTTAGAAAGTGGTTGAAATGAGATGGGTAGGAGGATTCTAACACCAAGCCAGATTATTTTACTGTGACATAACATGGTAGTATAGTAGTAAGGGGTTGGACAGCAGAGGAATTAAAGTCTGGGCTCTGAAACCAGAAAGCTTAAGTTAGATTCCATCTCTTCCACTTTTTCCTAGCTGAGAACGTTTCTCTAAGTTTCCGATCAGTTATTTGTACTTAATAACTTAAGTACCCATACCATGGGGGGATTGCAAGGTTACACTAATTCAAATAAAATGCTCAGAACAGTACCTAGCACATAATAATAAGTCCTCCATAAATGCTAGCTGTTTTTTATTACTGTTTTTTGGTGTTGTCCTCATCACTACCATCACAGATGCAGCATGATTTGTAAAGTCTGAATTGTGTATGTTGGAAGGAAGAAAACAAAGACATCGAAGATGTCATGGGAGAATGACAAGAAAGGAGATATCACCGATTATTTTTCTTTTAATTGAGAAGGAAATAATGTTGAAGAAAACATGTTGTAACTTAGAATGTGTTAGATTACCCAAATCAAAATGGTCTAGGTTAGACAATGAGAAATATGTGGGTCAAGAAAGAAAATTAAATAGCGTGATTTAGACCACTGGTTCTCAAAATGTGGTCCTGGACCAGCAGCACAGCACTATCCGGGAATTTGTTAAAAATTGAAATGATCGGACTCCACCTCAGATCAGCTGAATCATAAACTGTGGAGCCTAGCAATCTTTGTGATTCTATGCATGCTAAAGTTTGTGAATATTGGGTTAGAGAAAGGTATCTATAAATACCTCATCATAGCAGATAAGGAAGGGGACTTTCCTAAGAAAAAAGTTGTTATAAAATATAAATCAAGGCCTCATCTCTAGCAGTTTTAATGTATATGGTCAAAGTTAAGATATTTTTTCCAGTCACTCTTTTAGCAATATAACTGTTGCGTTTCTTTCTTTCTTTTTTTTTTTTTTAAAGAGTCCTAATTATAAGTATCCATCATTTGGGGCCTATTTTGAAGAAAGATCAATATTTTCTGTACTCACGAATTCTTCCAAGATCACTTGGAGAGGAGACAGAGGGGTGGGAAATAAGAGCAGTCAGATATATCACACAGCAATGTGAATGGTGAATGAGAAAATCTGCCTGTGTTGGTGACTCTGTAAACTGGAATGTTGTAGATAATGTTGAAGCACACCTAATCCAAGCAAGTATCAAGGGCGCTAAAATAAGGATTTTAAATAACTACTAAGGTATCTGTCTTTGATAAAGGTTTCAGAGCAGATGGGAATTTTTAGGAGGGAACTGGCATGGGACTCAAGATAATTATTGGAGACAGGTATGAGGGCAGGTCAAACCAAAGCAAGGATCAGAAAATGAGAACTGAAGGATTCATTTAAGATGAGAACAACATAAAGTACCAAGAAACTCTTCACAAAGTTGGCTTTATGATAAAGAGCATATTCAGTAAGATTAACCTAAGACAAGTTAATTGTCAAACGTGAAAGGAGGACAAAATGATTTTAGCTATAGGTGAGAATAAGAAATATAAGGCATCCAAGTCAGAGTGGATTAAGTATGATTATCTCTGTTCGCAGACAACATTCCGTAAATATAGAAAACCTTAAATAAAAGTGAAGATTCTACAATAAAACAGTTAAACAAACCGAGCAAAGTTGCAAGATATAAAATCAATACACAAAAGGATACTAACGATGAGCTATCCCAGAATGAAATTAAGAAAACAATCCAATTTAAAATAGCAATAAAAAGGATACTTAGGAATAAACTTAATCAAGGAGGCTAAAGACTTGTCACTGAAAAACTACAAACTGTTGCTGAAATTAAAGACACAAATAAATGGAAAGACATCCCTTGTTCACCGATTCAAAGACTTAATATTGTCAAAATGGCAATACTTCCCGAAGTGATCTATAGATTAAATGCAATCCTAATAAAAATCCCGATGACATTTTTTGCAGAAATAGAAAAATCCATCCTAAAATTCATACAGAATCTCAAGGAACCCTGAATAGCCAAGCCAATCATAAAAAGAACAAGGTAGGAAGTCTTACACTTCATGATTTCAAAACTTACCATAAAGCTTCCTATAAAGTAATCAAAACAGTGTGGGATGTGTCATAAAGACAGACATATAGACCAACTGAACAGAGATTCCAGAAATAAACCTCATGGTTGAATGATTTTACAAAGGTACCGAGACCATTTTATGGGGAAAGAACAATCTTTTCAATAAATGGTGTTGGAGAAACTGGATAACTACATGCAAAAGGATGAAGTTGGATCCATATTTTACACCATATACAAAAATTAACTCAAAATGGATCAAAGACCTAAATGTAAGAATTAAAATTCTAAAACTCTTAGAGGAAAACACAGTAGAAAAACATATGAACTGGAGAACTATTAAAGAAGTTGGAGAAAAACAGTGGAAATTTTATCTGGAAAGAGAAAACTATATTTTAAAAAGTTTTTAACAGAGCTTTCATAGGCAGAATCTTTTTTTTTTTTTTTTAAGATTTTATTTATTTATTTGAC